TTGGCCTGATCTAAGGCGCCGCCTGAAGACGCTGAAGCTTCCTGTTAAGCCTTTTGTACGGGACCAAGGCCTGGTGTGTGTGTGTGTGTGTCCGTATTGTAACAGTCCGATGTAAAACGTTCAAAACTTCTTTTCAACTTCACCGATCTTTGGTCCGAGAAACATTTTATATGCGCAGGGTTTGAATCTCACCGTTTGTCAGTATTTCTTTATAAATGATGAGAAGTAGAAGGGAATCTTTTCTTTCGACGGTTGGCAGTAATTGAATCACGTATCAAGTATTCATATAGCTACATTTACTCCTCTCATCTTCTGTGTTCGTCCGGAACATAAGAATCCTTGGTTTCTATGGAAACTGAGCGAGACCGCGCCTTTAGAATACCTCGGGTCTCCTCCCTCCACCCCCTCCGCCCCCCAGAAACAACCATTTCCTCATCAGCAACAGCACAGAAGAAAGAAATGAAGCGAGGATTCTGGAACTGCGTTTGCAGAAACTCTTGAACGGTAGAGGCGAATTCAGCTGAAGATAATTGACGTGAAACGCTTATGCAACCATTCGTACAGAGGCGCTGAAATGATTGCGTTAGTTCTGATGCGATTTGGGCATTGGGCTGGAGTCCTCAGACTGGGGTAATGCGTCCATCGCTAGACCAGGGCATCTGTTCAGTTCCGAACCCAGGGCCTCGAGTGTTCGAGGGGCTAGAACCTCAGATTTTTCAATAGACCCTGGTCTTCAGTCTATTATATTACGACGCAATCAAATTTCCCTTCTGCGCTTGAAAGCGACTGAAGCCGAAGGCCTGCATGCTTACTTTTCTGTTGTGGTGGTGGTCACACTGGTGACGAGGCGTGAACGCGAAGGGTAAATTGCTTTGGTGGGACCGTGTTCTTCTTGAAGCGGGATGATACCTGAAGACCACGGCTAAACCAATTAGGAGCAGCGAGTGTCTCATCTTGCGCTGAGTGGCGGGTTAGTCTGCTGCGGTAGGGGATTTATGACGCCACAGTGAAACCCGCTCATCAGGGGCGTCCAAAGCAGCCGAAAGCAGGAAGAGAGTGAGATTCGATGTCAGCATTGGTCTTCCACTTTCACGCCTGAAGATGGAGGCAGTCCGGACGGCATTAAAACGCAGATTCCGTTTTGCACCCCGTGTACGTCGCCTGCGAATCTGTGGCGGGAATTTTGGAGTGAGGATTTGCATGCCGACGAGAGAGAGAGAGAGAGTCTCTGTCTCTCCCTTCTCTTTGTCTCTATCGGCATTCAGCTGTGCTTATAAACGTTCTACACATCTTTGTACACTGTCAGGCTTAATTTATTGCTTATTTTGAAGCGAATTCCTTTTAATATAAACTCGAGGCTGCGCACTTGCACGCCGAGACGCGGACAAAACGATAAATATTCCAGGAGACTTGTTTCCCATCGCTCTTTTTGCACATTTGAGTCTTCCCGTTTATTAGAGAGACTTTGCGTTGTATTTTCTTATTCTCGGAACGAGAGACGTACGGGGTTTGGTTTCAGACAACTTTTATAGACACTGTTTAATATTTTCTCCTTCTCTGTAATGTACAGCAGGGGTAGGCAAAGTGAGGACCGCGGGAAACGTGTGGTCCTCGCAGTCTTTTAATGTGGCCTGTAACCCGTGGGATGTCTCCACACACACACACGCACGGGGTTGTAGTAGAACTGCCCTAAGGACGAAAGTGACTGTGGGGGGGGGGGGGGCTCAATCCTGTCGTCCACTCCGTCACTTGCAAGTGTCACTCTGTTGACGATATGACGAGTAACTGGCCTGAGCCAGGGGTACTCAAAGTACTCGTGTTTCGGAAGTAGTCATTATCAAATCGGCCAGCGTTATCCCGATGTCGCCTTCATTTTCTGTAATTGGACGATTTTTTTTTCTGATTCGTGTTTCGCAAAACAGCAGAAAATTGTAGACTGACACGTGACGCGCGGGTGATTAGTTGGCTGGAGCGCCTCTTTCCAGTTACCGCGCCGCTGGGCTCCTGGCGCACATCATCTGCTAATTAGCAGGCCCCGTGCTCGTTTGTGTGACGTCTGGCTCGAAGCTCGAAACGCTTTGACGGTGTCAGCAGAATCGTGTCGGATATTTCACTGTTCATATCCCCACAAGGCGCAATCGCCTGCAGACGTGTTAATTTCATTCTGGCTTACGGGATTTAAGATCCGAGTTCCTCCGTCTTCTCAGTTGTGGCACTGATAAGTGTTGCTGGCGTTTGTAGACGTCTCCTTCTTTAGAGCAACAACTTCACTAAACGTCTGTCCAGATAGTTGACATAACCTTCACGATAACTTGAAAATACTATGTTGTTTCATAAATGACACTGCAGTGCTGATGCGAGTAACACTGCCCAGAAGTGTGACCGATTTGGATGAAACTTGGTTATGGTTACCGGCACGCACCAAACTTTGATTCGTCTAGCATGTTTTAGTGAGGGCCGTGTGTACTAAATTTAATCGAATCCTGTTCCTATTTTCCTACTGTCGGAGTTGTAACAGACAAGCCTGCGACATTGTAGCTTACGCCCTTTCTGCAGAGAACGCGTACAAATCTCGCCGCCAGGTTCACAGTTGTTTGATTAATCAGACTGCACTTTTCTTCGGTTGTCACAGAACGGACGGGTTCCCTAATGAAAGAACCGCCTGTTCCTGTCATCCAGAAGTAACTTATTCCTTGCGACTTTGTGTTTTTGCAGACGGAATCCACAGGAATTACGAGTACGTCGAAGCCTCCGCAGCGAAACTCTCTCTTCTGATTTCCTCTTCTGCCGGCCTTCGTATAAAAAGAAAAGAGGAAGTCCATTCAGAAATTCCTTCGTGTGGCCGAATCCATCTACTTCTCGTCAGTGTTTTGCTTCCTGAGACTAAAAACTGCTGTAGGACCAGAGGCGAGCAAGTTTTGTGTGCCAAAAGTCTCCAGATTAAGGACGCGTAGCAAATAGCATTCAGCTGTCGGGAAACCCAGAAGGTCGTCATCGTCTGACCCCTGTCACCTCAGTTCGTTTCAGAAACATCAAAATCTGTTTCTGTGAGGTCCGTTTTAATATTATACTTCCAGCTGCCGTGTTCTTTGATGTTCCAAAACGTCTCTTGTCACGAGATTTTAAATAAGATATTTTGAAATCATTTCACATGCGCGGTTCTTTGTTCTGGCTATTTAACGACGGTCTTTGGAGTGAGAAGTCAATTTTGATTAGGCATGAATTTGGAAGGAGACGGTTCTATCGCTCGTCCATTCTGGTAGGGGAAACGGGAGTGTCGAAGTGGTAAGCGCCGATACTTCCCGGGAACTTTTCTCCTGCCCTAAGATTCACTTCTCCCAATTTTGAAGGACAATTCTCCGAAGTGTTTGTGAATCGTTGCTTAGTCAAATAGCATTTTGGTGTTTGTGTTCGATATTCGAGGTTTGCCGCTGAAACTCGATAGTCACCTCGAAACAGCGAAGTTTGTGATTTTCGCTGCCGACCGAGTTTAATCGTCCTAATTCCCCTCAGATCGCCCTCGTTCGTCGCTTTGTCTGTTGACTCCAGCGAGACCCGTGCAAACGATCGAGCAGTGTCTGTTTCTCAACTAGTGGGCCGCGACTCGGCCTAACTGTGCTCTGACCACAAAGCGTCAGTGAGACGATGTCCTGCCATCGGCCTTTTGACATTATTGTCGTCGTCATATTTCATGTCGGGCTTTCGCTTTATATTTATTATACACTGTGATTTTCGGTCTGTATGAATTTCTAATCTCAGTCTTCTATCCGTTACCCTCAGGGGCCCACAGCAGTGGGTACGGGAAGTGGCGATCCCGAGGTACCCGAGCTACCCGGTGCCCAGGGGTATAGCTGGGCCGCCCTGTCTCCGCGTGGTCCTCCAGATTGGGGGTTGGGCGTGGGGTTTACAGATCCATCCCGAAAAAACTGATTGTACAGGAACTTAATACGAGAAGCCGGACGGATCTAACGGAAAAGCGAAGACTGGTCGTAATGGAAGAAACTCGTTAAGGGGGCCAAGTCCCTTAAAAAAGCCGCATTGCCACGGAGTAGTAGTCTTTGTGTCCTATATATTACGCTAGTCACTTGTTACTCGGTCTTTCAACGTTAATATTTATGTCACTGAGTTGTACTTCTTGTCAGGGCAAATTATCTCTGAAACAGTTACGGCGAGGAAACGTCTTCAAAACTGTTCGCTAAGAAATCAAAGGGGGGAGTCCCCCATCGAGTCGTGAGAACGAGAACTGAGTATCTTCATCGGTGTTTATCGTGATTTTTCTCAGTCACTTCAAGGAGACGTTAGGCAACACTGTGAGAGCCATCCTGTCTTCCGACAGTTCGGCTACACGGACGCCTCCGCCATAACTTGCGTCGTAAATCTGCAACTTGCGTATCAGTTGCGAGGCGCCGTGTCCCTTTTGTTTTCGCCCTCGAAAATGAGTTCGGTTTTTTTAGTGCCGGGCTACAAAGTGCCCTGATGAAACAACTTGGTATTGCGTGGCGTTTCGTACCGAAAACAGACCGATAAATCCCAGGAGACGTGTTGGGGACAGAAGACAGAATTAGCCGTCCTCGTGTGCGTAGTTCCAGTTCGCCGAGGAAGCAAATCTGCACAACAAAAGATAAAGTAGCGATCTCTTTCGGAACCTGAAAGCGCATTTGCGTGCCGAAGGGAAGATTATCAAAATAGGATGATGAGGAGAGAAGGGGAGGAGGGCTAGAAGCTGAGGCGTCGAAACCTTCAAGCACGTCCACACTGCGTTGCAAGCCACGAGGGGTTAAAAGAGAGTCTGGTTATCAGCTTCCAGTTTGTGTCAGTAAAATATTTTAAATGCGTAAGAGTCACGTTTGTCGAAAAGACGACTGCTTGAGTGCTGTTGTTCAAAGCGGACACTGCTTCCTGGAGTGGCTAACTTCAGTTGTGGTGAGACCCAGGAAGAAACCTGTCTCTCTGAGGGGAAACATTTCTTTTAAACGGTGGTCTTGTCTCTTCTGTTGCAGCCGCGTCAACGTGACGCATTTCGGCGACAAGGTCCAGTGTTTCCCTCCCGTGGGGCCGCAGAACAACTACATCGTGTTCGCTGAGATGCGAGCCAATGAGCTGGTCGCCAAGTACGACGATCTCTTCGGTGCAGCCGCTGATTGGTCGAAGGAGAGCGAAAATCGGGTGTGGACCGGAGTTGGTGAGTGTCTGTCTTCGGGCAATTTGATCATAACCGATGGCAGCGGATTTGGTGGAGGGACTCAGTGGCCCTCCGTTAGAGGTCCTCGGTGACGTAATTTTGACATTTTCGGTTCATCGTGTTGTGTTCGGACAGTTTGGTAGATCAAGGTGGGTTGCCGGAGTCTAGTCATTGCAGTTTTTAACGACTAATCTAATGATGTTGGAGTGGGCGTGTGGTAACGATTGCAGTTGCATATTTATCCTAATCAAGCGCTTGAGTGCAGATGGTTGTCTGTTCCTCCCGTTCCATAGTTCAGTAATCGGCGCTTTTTAACCACAAACATCGTACGGGGAAGATCAGTTCAGTTTGAAACATAAATTGTGTGGAGGGGGGGGGCAGTGGATTGTTTACGAGTCTATTGTCTTTTTTATCGGCTGTTCTTTCGCGTTCAGTACCGGAATGCCCCTCCTCTTATGCTTCGCGTTAATTAGCCGCGTGTCTTCGTTCGCTTCCGTAAAGCAACATTTTTTATCACGCGGAGGTGACGTCATTACGTTCTTCCGTCCGTTCTGCGGACGAAATCAAATTGTGATCATTCCATTTCGATAAACTTGCATTGAACTGGCTCGGTCCATGATTTATTAAATAACGGGCTTCCGGCGTGGCGGGTCACATATTGTCCGCCTAGTCGAACAGAAATTGCCTCAGGTTCGTGTGACGTACATCTTTTGTTGTTGATGTTGTGAACTCGTAATTAAAGTGTGGTGACCCATCACGCCCTGAGGCGGGCCCTGTTCGAGAACCTGCGTAATATTCTGACGAAAAAAGAACACGAAGACACAACATGTATCTGTCGAAAACATCCTGTTACGGGGGAGGGGGAGTAGTTCGGGTAACAACAGAAACGTCGTCGTATGCATTAAATATATTTGGATGAGTCCGACACACGTCTGACTGTAATGTAATAACTGACAAGTGGGTGTCGCTTTTCCGCTGAGCCTTTCCTGCTTAATGGCGGTAAGAAATGGGACCGAACCTTTTCCCGCACTCCGAATTTTCTGCTTGAGTGCGTGGACCTCGAAGATATGAGGATTACCGGAGGGTAGAGGCAAGCGCTGATACGACGGTCGTGTGATCCTGACTTACGACCCTCATGCGAGGAAACGGTCTCTCAAATCACTGTTACGCTCGTTCTAGAGGTGATGCACTGTTATTGCCCTGTGCGCCCGCCTGCTCCGGGCTGCGTCTTCGGATGACGGCCTTCGGCTCCACTTCGTGTGGTTATGGACCGTGAACAGGTATTCCAAGTGCGGACTATGCAGCTGAGCATTTGACGACACGTGTCGGTAACCGTAAGAAGTGAGCTCTGTTCTGTCGTCGTAAAACGGCGTTGAAATAAGTCACACTTCGACTGCGGTCACTGTCGTGGTAGACTCGAGAGAAATTCGGGGAGATAAAGTCAGAATGGACGATGCGGTGGCGAGATAAGAAATTCTGATGCCCCGAAGGGAGTCGATCCCTGGACGTCTGAAACGCAGACAAGAAGTCTTCAAAGGAAATTCCTTCGCAGTTCTCTTTAAGAGACAGAGAAATTCTGTAGATTTTCCAAACAAATCAGCTGAGTTATAGCAACGTTTCGCGAGGGGACTTTCAACCTCTGACTTTTAAAACACACGCTGCTGTAAGAACTCGTCCCCCAGTCATTTCACTTTTCATCAGTCTCACCCTTGGACCGTCAGATGACGACATGAAGGAAGTCAATAACATCGAGAAAAGTTCTCGCAGTTTACTCGGCGATATTGTATTTCTGAGTTTGTGCCCGGCCAGAGAGACTGTCGCATTACCTGAGCGTGTGAGTAGCTACTCTGCTCACGTCTGAGGAGATTTTCCTGCCGGAAACTTTCAGACGCGGAATCTCTCCGGTGTTTTGCACTAACGACCATTAGCATTAAATGTCATCAGAGAGTAATTGTGACGTGCGTCTGAGGGTTGAGGTATTTACTACTCTTTTCCGACATCTAGGTAACCGTGACACGTTTCAGGGCGTCGTAATTAATAGTACCGCTGTCCACTTGTCAGTTTCGTAGGTGAATAGTCAATGTGTGTGCGATGATCAAATATTCGGTCGGACGTCCGGACTAGTGCGCTGACAGCGACAGGGTCCTCGTGGATCCACGCGGCCTCGTGTGTTGTGGGCGTCAGTGGTTGTTCCGCGGGTCGAAACACAGACCTGATGCCGAGCGCGTGCCGATGAATGCGTAAACCCCGGGGCCAAGTGTCCGTGAAGTATCAGAGTGCGGGCGGGCGGAGTCGGTTCGTACTTCATTTGAATCCTTTGATCTCCAGACACGACAAACTTGTTCCAAACTTCACCGCTATCAGACACTGATCTCGGAGCCTCGTTCCCGTCGCTCAGTCGCCAGAAAAATTCACTTTACGTTCAGAGGAGGCAGAATATCGTTTTAGAATGTTAAAGGAGACGTATCAGGTGCTCCGTTCTGAAATGGGATCTGCGTTGTACTCGTTTATGAAACGCGCAGGTCTTGTTACGTCGTAAGACTCCACATAGACGTGAATCTGTGCTTCCCGTGAAGTATGAATCAGGATATGATCCACTGGAGGGCTGTTGTGAGAACGGTAATGAACTTTCGGTTCAGATGAAAAGGCTTTACACAACATTCTCTTCCTGTCCTCGTAAGACGTGGAAGAGATGGTTGCTCCTGTAAAGACATTTAATAATCGCACGTAAGTTCGCAAGAAGCTTTGTGGTCCGTAGAATTACTTGCTACAGCCAGTTATAATCCTCTGTTTGCCTGGAATCCAAATCCTCCGGAACATTTTATTGGGAAAAAAAAGGGTGATCACACATCACAGGAGATTCAGCGGCTTTAATTTGAAACATTTTTTATTGCGTATGTTTCCTTTTTAATGAAACGCAGAGGAAAATAATTTATGAGCCTGTGACGAGCGGTTTCCGTTTCGACAAATGAGCGTCACGCGGTAGCCAAAACAGCAGGACGAGCTGTGCGTGCGTGTTCCTGGTCAGCTTGACGCATCCCGTCCCGTCCACCGAACAATGACGCTGGAAACAGCGGAACGCGGGGTGAAAACGCGTTGGACCAAAGGCAGTGTTGATGCATCAGACCATAAATTCTGTTATCAGCGCTCAAAAACCGTGGTTTGTTTACTTCTGCTCTTTCGGGGTAGGTTATGTTATCGGGAGTGCCCGGGCTCGTGCAGTGTGACCGATCAGTGGCCGAGTCATGATACCGCGTTCTAGCTTTGCAACTAGGAAACCCAGGGTTCGAATATCGGAACGAACTTTGCGGGCTGTTAAATGCGAACTTATTTCTGCTGTTTACACTTCATTTCGGACACCAAGTACTGAGCCGATTACCTTACGCCGTCGCGTTGCTCGGTCATGCCGTGCGGCCCTCACGGATTATGGATTTAAAATGGCCACTACATACTTTAACCCCCCCCCCCCACACAAATAAAAAATTTTCATTTCACTGCAGTGCGTCAGATATTACTGTGACATTGTCACGTGGTGCGATTCGTAGTTCTGTCTGTGGGCAGTGCCCCGGGCGTTTGCCCCTCACACACGGGACTCGCAAGAATTGGTCGCTCTGTCAGGGGTGCAACCTCTCCTTAATTTATTCCCTTCACACCCACAGGAATTTCCCTCGTAAACGTATTAACAAAAAATAGTAATACCTGTATTCTACAGGGTGATGCATAGTCCTGTTGCCGATCACCGTGGAACTTGAATCGCCACGCAAGTCGAACCTTCCTGTGCGACCGCCCATAAGAATGCAAATTTCCGATTGGTGGATAATAGCGCTGATCCTGAAGATAATGCAGAATTTTGCCCACATCTTCCCGTTCCTCAGGACCTGCGTTCATCGGGTCTCGGGATGAAATCTCTGCCCTCCCGAAAGTCGGTTGTTGTAATGCCTTGGGACATTAAGTCGGCGTAGTGTAGTGTTTCTAAGAAGAGGTCAGCACTTGCATCCGGTGGGAGTATTTTTCTTCGAGGGAAACGGCTTCTGAAATCAGGAAATTCGTTCGTTATGCTGGAACGCGGTTCCAATTTTACGGGGCGTTGCGTGACGTCTCTGCCTCAAAGAAAATAACATGGCAGTGAAGGAAATGAGAGGTT